GTAATTAATACATATCTACGTGTATCATCAACCAAAAGTTGATAAGCCATGATCAGTTATATTACGATACGCTAAAACATATCGCATTGAGTTNTGTATTGTATTCCAGATCGTGGTAGGATAGTTTTACAGGTTTAATGGCTTTGTACGTTAACATACATGCCATAATGATGTTGAAAGATTGCCTTATCTTTATGATCTACAGTAATATTATGAATGAATGACTATTGACTACATGATAGATTGTACTGCTTGATGAAGCGACTGCTTTTATGGATACGAAAACGGATGGAATTATTCAAGCTACCTTGCAAAGTGAATTACGAAAGAGCACAGTTTTAATTATAGCACATCGACTTAACACAATACAATCGTGTGATAAAGTTTTAGTATTAGATAGCGGAAAGGTAAGTTACCTCAATACATGATTAAAAAATTACGGTATTTTAACTATTACTGTATCTAACTAGCGGCCATTCATATACCATAGCTATAGTTGTTATGCAGTGAGTACACATTCTATAAATTTTACAGTTACTAAAACATTAATTTATTATAGATTCTAGAATTTGATACTCCCTTCAATTTGATGTACAAGGAAGAGTCGATATTTAAAAGAATGGTTAGTAAGGCTGGAATAGAGGAACTATTCAAGCCTAAAAGGGTAACAAAGAGAAAACCAATAATTTTGGAGAATAGTAAGCAAACGCTTATATAAATTTGTCACCAACAGTGCTAAACCTTTTTATATTGGGCAGCCGTAAAGAGAAACTTTTGGAAAGAAACGTCCTTTATCCTATCTTATATGTTAACCTACTTCATAATTGTACAAGAAGCTAGTCTTCATCTGTGTCCGTGTATAGTAAAATATTCCGAATATCTTGATTGACGCAGCAGACTTAAAAATATATTCTAGATGTATTCTTTACTCTATTTTAAAAATAATTTGCAATTTTAGGACTATTTTCTCGATCTCTGTTCTATTTAAAATAAAGGGCAATATTCCATGCTCTTGCTACTTTTATCTATCTACGAAGTCAAGATGTTAAGAATGTTTGATTGAACCTTTTCTTTTATCATATTTTATTACTTTATTTGTGTTTCACATTTTGAACTTTACGTCATGCTGATGATGGCATTGGTATGATTCTGCTATTAATAAATTTACAGAAATTGATTTTGTATTCGTGCAGTATCACCTTCTTTAATAATAAGTAGCAAATATTCAACGTCAGTTTGTGACTTATCACTTGGAGTTATAAGAATTTCACCATTCGGTCTTACTATGATGTACATCATCCGCCTCAAATCTACATGCGAATATGAGCAAGGACTACTAAATCGTCATTGGAACGTTTTGAATGCGTCTATTTTACTGTATTGTCAGTATCTTGTATCTTGTCAACTGCATACTGTACTGTACTGTGTAGTACAATAGTGTACAGTACATACAGTATAGTGTAGATCATACAGTACCTAGTCAGTACCTTCATGATGACGCAAACAATATCATTGCTCTCTATACCAATCTGTAAAATCTCGTCAATATCCGGGCCGAGCCATTGGAGACGACTTTATTTTGGGCTATGAAATTGCGAGAAATACGCGTAGGTTATATAAAATTGCGAGAGAAATACGCGTAGGCTCTACTTTGCTTTTTATTCGAATTCCTAAGATGTTCAAGTGGATCAAAAATAATCGATTTCTAGTCTTTATTAATTGGCAAGACATTGCATTATAATATCAACATTATTGATCAATCGGAGTTTATAATTAAGCCAATACTGTCATGGAAAAGCACAACGTTCATGTTTTAATTGGAAATATCCCTGAAAAACTTCGCTCTGCTGATTTGAGGGCATTCTTTTCGCAGTTTATTGAAAGCAATGGATTTATATGCTTTCATTACAGGCATAGACCTGAAAGTAAACTTTTTTCAAGCGTTAACGCTACACAACAAGATAATCCTGAAAGTAGGAACAGTAATAGCTTAGAGAAAGAGTCGTCTTGTGAAAGTCAAACTGTCAACAAAGATTCAAATGATGGAAACGATAGCCGTCAAGCATTCAACAAGGCAAATGTTCCCAACACAAAATGTTGTGTTACTGTTATTGAAAAGAAAAATTTTCAAAATTTCTTTCGTGATTATCAGAGAAAAATATGGACTGACAGAGATGGGAAGTACTTCAAGAGTAGGACACTTATATCTCGTATAAAACTAAAGGATTCTAAGGAAGTTGATCAGCTTGGTGCTGGCGATGTTTCAACGAAACCAGAGCATTCACAATTAACTACCGATGATTTAGCTAGATTACCAGGTACGTACAGTATGCGGCATATTCACTTATACAGCAAGGACTAGTGATTTCTTTCCTAATCATCTTGTGCTTATGGTGTATACTAAGCCAGTACGTAATCATTTAGTTTCAATTTAATAGTGTACTAGTAAGCATATTCATCGCCAATGTTATCAACTCAAATAGACCAGTCGTTAATTTAGCTACAAAAAACTCGTATTTAGCTACAGTACTATGTATAAATATCGTTATTACAAGCATCGCTATTAAAGAGTGATGATACTAGTGCTCACGATCATTGATTGAAAAGTCTATACCATTTCTTAAAAACCGGCAATAGAGATAACGTATCGCTTAAATAATGTATTCTATCTTTTATCTATTTAGAATTAAATCCTCCTCCCATTATGCCTAATGGTAACGTTGGAACGCCATTATCTGTACTTATGGACTTGATTCGTACCTGCCGCTTTCCTCCAAGAATGATTAGCAAATTAGATCTTAAATTCCCCAAAAATCGGTCTTCAAGAAAATACGGTGCTTTAGGCTATAACTACTCTAAGAAAAAAGCTTTCGATCTGCGTAATAACCAATTCGATACGACAGAGACGAATTCTAAAATAAATGACAATGAAGAGTTATTGGATGATGAGGAAATAAATCATCAGTACGAAGATAAAAATAATGACGATGATCATGTAAGTTTGCAAAAATCTTATAGTAATTAGATTATAAATTCTGTCGTTATTGACCTGATAATATTGATACGATAATACTTGATTATAATAATTATGAACTGTAAATACAGGACCCAGATGTCGAAGAATGGGATAGATACGAAGCTATATTCGACGATGTTGATAAACAGGTAATAGAAATAGCAAAAAATTTCTTAAGCATCCAGTTGTGTACTATACTTTATTGTGTTATCATCTTCGCTCAACTTCACTTTGGTTATTTTATCGCAGGGTCGAACTAAGGAAAGATTATTCGAAGATGAAATTGAATTGAAATGGGAAAAAGGAGGTAGTGGACTAGTATTTTACACTGATGCTAATTACTGGAAAGAACAAGAAGGCGACTTTGATGAACAAACAGTTGATGACTGGGATGTGGACTTCAGTGCTTATTACGAACGTGGTAAGATTAAATATTATTCATCGAGTAATAGAATTTAAATCATTTTGAACTGTTGCATTTCAGTGAAACACTTACGTATATGATTATAGATGGCGGCGACAAAGATGTTCGAGATATGATTCAAATGAGGATTGAGAAGCGTCGGAGGGAGGGTATAGAGGATACTTCCATCGGAACTACTGGCGGAATTGGAGAATTTGAGAGGCATACAAAGGTGCGTGTACTTGCAACGTAGTTATGACTAATAAGTATGCGAACTCAGCTGTTCGAAATCATGTTATTAGAAATTGTACATCAATATGAATTGCAGATGGGTGAATATATCGTTATTACTAATGTACTGACAGGGATTTGGAGGGAGAATTTTGCAAAGTCAAGGATGGAAGAAAGGTGCTGGAATAGGTCGTATTCAAGACAGTATAACAGAACCAATCGAAACAAATGGTCAAAATCCTCGCTGTAAAACAGGATTTGGGTTAGTATTCGATTAATTGCCATTGTAACATGACAAGGATAATGCTCTACAATTCTAATGTCAATTAATATAATTGTTTATTGACGTATTATATTTATATTACAATTTATGATATAGCTACCATGGTGAAAAACTTAATCGTAATGTCAAGAGACGTAAGGCAGATAGCAACAGATTAATACCCACAATATATGACAATTTGGAAAATGAACCAAAAGATACCGCGTACCGTTCAGCTGGACCGGACACTTTGAAATATCGCTTTGTAAATTTTGTTTCGGCTTCAGAACATTCGCAGCCGTAGTAACCATGCTTCTAAATCACAAGTAACGCGAACACTGTCCGTCATATTCTGTAACGCAGCTGTAAATAGGGAATTGGGTATAAGTAATTGCGTACATTTAGTGTTTTGCTATTTGATTATAATACCCTGGGTACATTATGTACACGGTGTTTTATTGCCTACTATCCGGGGTATTACAAAGAACCGATTTTATATATATATCTATAAAATGACTTAGTGCCATGTTATGATTAAGTTAAATGAATTGTAGGCACGATACATAAAGTGATCTAGTAAGATGATTATCTAATAACAAAGATAAATCTGTTGGAAATATCATATTTATGATCCTGTGTATAAATGCGAATGAAAAATGTCATATTTATTTATGTTTGATACTGTGATTCATCAACAGAAACCTTTATTGATTATACTGTCTTGAGAATCCTTGTTTGTGAAAGGAAAGACGAAATGGTATCGATTAGTAAATTAATCGATTTCAAAAGAAGATAACTTTCTCGAATAATCGCAAAAATATCTTGTAGTATAGGCTTTAATTTTGTGGTGCTCTGGTCGTTCTTGATATTATTCAGATTTAAGTACTATTGAAGCCATCATCAATTATTAAACAATTTATATGCCTGAATGTTACATACTGTATATCTTACCAATTGAAATCGCATAAAATATAAAATATCAAAGCTTTTTATTTTATAAATATTTTCATTTCATGAAACTCTTAAGGCTTGTATAACATTTATTAGAGTTCTGGTCATAAAAATTCGCGTCAGCTTTTCCAATAAATAAATAAATTTGTTCAAAGATTTATATTTTCTAATTGATAATATGACGGTAGTAAAATTGCAATATCTTTAAAAATGAGATGGATATAAATGTACTGAGAATGTTAATCCCATTACATTGAACATTGGTAAAGTACCATTTCATAATATTGAGAAATTAGGTATCGTCATTTTAAAGTAGTACAGTAAGTCATATAACTGTGGACTGTTGACACCTTTTATTAGACGCAGCCCAGTAAATAATTGAGATCGCAAGCATTGAATATCCTGCGAATGATAGTGTTTCAAACAGCAGAAAGCAATTTTATAATGTTAATGATTTAATATGGTTACAACAGAAGTTGGTAATAAAAAATACTTTAATTATAAACAATAATCCAGAAAGATGTCATAAAAAATATCAACCACATCTCTCTTTTCACTTTAGAAGTTATAGTCATGCATTACTGCTTCAGCCAAAGCATAACTTTGATAATCTGTTTTTTCGTGATACAGAGCGGCTAAAAAGCGTTGAGTTTCGGGTGTGATGTAGCTATCCATGACATGATCAACCGATCTAACGCAAGATACACAAAATTTATTAAATGAGTAAAAGTAATTACAGTTAAACAGAACAAGAAAGGTTTTAAAAAATACTAAGATAAAATCTTTATTATATACTAATTGACTTACCTATCAATAGGTTTAATAATGATTGGAATTAAAGCTAAACCAAGGGCTGTCGTCATTACTTGTCTATTTCGAACATGAAGTAATTTAAAGAAACTATTAAAAGCTGCACAGCATCGGTTAATAACGAAACCAGGAATTATTACGGAAGCCAGTGACTGCCATATTAACGTTTCAGTAAATTTTGAAGCTACTTGGTAGTCATGTTCGCTCTTGAATTTGAACTAGATTAATACAACAGGATACGTTAATTTTTACTTTTTGTTTTACGTTTGGCAATATAATTATCTAATTCCTTTACTTTATGTGCATATCGAACAGCGTTTAAGATACTATAATTCGTTCTACTATAAAAACATACTATAAAACCAATAAGATAAAAGTTCATGAAGACAAAATCCTTGAATATAGTTTTGCATAATATTACAACACTTAAGAAATAATAGCCAGATATATATTTATAATTAAACTCTAAATCAATGCAGCAGACAATCTGAAATGAAGAAACATTCAATATAATTTTGAGTCCTAACTTAAATCTGTATACATTATTCTATTTTACTGGCTACTAAGAGCTTATGCAATCAAGTATAATTACTATTTTGTATATGCCTTGCGGTAGAATAATTTTATAATTTCAAATCGACCTTAATTCCTCGTAAAGATAAAAAGGTTTTAGAATTGTACTTTAATCTAGCAATTAAGTCCAATTATCTTATTTATACGGCAAATGGTGGTAACTTTACGTTGGCTGACTACCAAGTAGAATAATCGGTAATGCTGCTAAGTAACAGTATGCTCGTATGGTACTTTTATTTATACTACATCGTAATATTACAATAAACCAAATTTCTCTTATGTAGAAACTTCAGCAATGCTAATCTACAGCTAGATACTACGACTATTCTTCCAGTGATTTTAATATTTAGGATGAAATACCTGAAAATGCTCTTAATTTAAGAGAACAAAAAAGTATGATCGATTTATTATCATAATTAATATAAGAATGAAATAAGTTATATTAATACAGCTGGAAGTATTCTTACAAATCGATGTCAAAACCTTTTTTAAGCAGGTTAAGTAAGATTTATGAGTTTCGTTATATTCATTTAGATATTTCATCCTAAATATTAAATAATGTATGAAATACTTTCCGAATAAAATATCCTAATATTAGTATTTATAGATTACTGCTGCTTGTTACATTCATGGACTGCTAAAAGAAAGATTTCCTTCTGGTAGTCCATATCATATTGTGCTTAGTGTTACAGCAATTCACAGATAAGCGTTTGGCGTCATTTATTATTTTTTGGTGTGGTAATCATGCAATAGGTATTGCTAGTAGTTTATATCATATTGTACTTAGTGTTAAGCAATCCGTAGATAACTGGTGGCGTTGTTTATTATTTTTAGAAATGCTAATCATGCAATAGGTGAAGTTAGATGTTAATATATCTCTTATATTGATTAGTATATCAATTATCTCGTAAAGCCACAGTAGGGAACCCTAAACCTGCTAATTATATACAGTACTTACACGATCAGAGGTTAGAGAACTCTTGTTGCAGGTATCAGCCAAAACATAACCACCAGCAATCATATAACTTAATTTGACATAGCGGACAGGAATAGCACCTCGAAATGCTTCACCTACTTCATTGGCATAACCTAGATAATTGATATTAATGATAGCATTATAGAGCGATAAAAGTATTTGGATACTTGCTAAGAGCACATAAAAATTACTCATGACGTACATAAACAAATTTTATTTATTTATTCTATTAATCGATCACGAAGATCACGATCAATAAAATAATCTATCATTGATTCTCGGCTCACATGCTATACTATATTAATGTAGATAATATATTTATAGGAAGAAAAATTGAAGCTAAAAGAAAAATGCTCTCATCTACAGTAGAATTGGTAATCCTATGTACAGTAGATGCTGTATGACTATATCATCATTTCTACCAGAATTTTATTTTACAGTTAAAATTTTCCATGCCCCGATTTACGCGTTGACCGATATCGTTATCATGATTATGGCTACAGGTAAATGTTGAAAAGCAATACTTGTATGTAGAGAAAATGGATTTAATCCCTTTCATTCTCTAAGGTGTGCAATCAATTACAATGTGAAAACATAGTTTAAAGTCATCTAGTGCGTAAGATATATAAGTAAATTACAACATTTCATTTTATCGAATATGATGGTGTATAGCGTTGAACAATTTGGAAATAAGAGCGGATCGTCATCATACATGGGAAAAGCACAGCTAGAAACCTTGTTTGAGTTTATTGCTTTTGCTTTACGGTGTGCTGTCATAGAGCTACAAGATCTGCAGTAAGTGATGATAACATAAGCACATAGTATACTCTCGCAGCTTTATAACAGTTTTGAAAGCTTTAAGAACGTGATGATTAAATTAAATTACTTCCATTTGACAAGCGCATCTTTGGCGTAAGAAATAGTTCAATTTAGATCAAGGTATTATTGAATGTAAATTGATATACTGATGTTTGAATCGGTAATACAGTGGGAAAACAGTAATGAAGTAGCGTGAGCTATTACATCATAGGGTACCGTGTAAAATATATAAACTGTCTGTCAATACTGCATGTATAAGAATCTCCATCGATATACGAGTATACATGCCATTGCCGTCTTAACGTGGATCTATCTGTCCGCGTGGATTACTCCGGAGAGACATTTTACCTTACTCACAGTATGTAAAATTAATCTTACTAACGTACGTTAAAAAAATTTTGCTAGTGATGCTCATAATTAAAATATCAATCAGGACTTTAAATTCACTGAATAGATCGATCGCAACGATAATAATAAATTTAAGAAGGGGGAAAAAATGATAAGAGTGAGGCATGTTATTATAGATCCGCTAATGGGATTAATTAATTTATTTAATTTAAATAATCTAATATAACCATGGTGGATTGGATTGGATGAAGGATTGATGCGCTGCTAAAGCATTTATAAGAGGATTGAAATGATATATTGTATCTCCATTCTAATTTTCATACTCGTATGAGTAATATTAAAACTAACTTGGTTACTGCATTTGGTCGATGAATACAACTGCGAGACTTTACCAAGTTCCAAGCTGTTGGAAGTGAAACTATTTTAATTATCTAACTAAAGGTTGATCGGATTTGATGAAGGATTGCACGACGAGTGAAGTATTGACAACAGTTGACATGATATTTCACAATCTATTTGGATTTTGATCATGAAAATAACTTGACTAGTGCATTTCATCGATCGTAAGATTGGTGAGATTGAAGCCAAGCCAAAGGGGTCGTTATGCGATTATTTTAATTTAATCTTGTGAAAACTAAAGCTTGATCCAAATTGGATTGCATGACAATCTCGAATGATCACCCATATGAAATGTTATCCATCCTGGCTCTCTATACCATATTATGATTTTCTTCGATTGCCTCGGTTAAAATAAAGAATGTTCTACTGTCATTGAGTAATAGACACAACCATGCTTACCTAAATAACGCAATGGAGTATGACGATAAATGTCTACTGTTGAAGTAACTTCTTCCCTTTTCTCCATCTCCTCCTTTTCAACCATTGAATACGACAGTCTGTAAAACTCTACTTTGATCTCAACAAAACTAAATGGATCTTGTACAATATCTAGACGTCAAATACTAATCCAAACTTGCAATGGTTGACTGAATGATCCAAGAAATTTTCATTTAATGAATTTAATTTTCCTGCCCCAAAATGCCAAACCGACCGACTAATTTCTTAATTGGCAACCTGTTGATCGCTGAGTGTCACTTCAATCGCATGATCGCATTGTTCCAAGAATTAATTGGCTTTGTTTATTTTGTACATCGTGACGATTGTATTGTGTGATTTAGAACGCTGATAAAGCCCAGTGGTACAGCGAGGATAATGTAGTGGTGTTACAGTATAATACCTTGGACTAGTCAACGTGTTCGCGTCACTAGTGTAACGCGATGGTTCCACCCACCTGACTTGGAGTTACAACCCATTGAGGTTCAAAGTGCACTAGACAGACGGACATTTCTTACCAAATGGCTGAAAATGATCGATCAATGGCTACTTAGTAAAAGATCTTCCGTGTCTGTTTTCTAAATCGTTGATACTCATTTCAATAACATTGAAGATGCTCTATAGAACTGTTTCTAAGCAGAACTTACTGATGGATAATGAGATTCAACGTACTATGACTTAATTTAGAAAAAAAATTGGTCAATTCAAAATCGATCGTCTGCCTACTCAAGTACTGTACTGCGATCAAGAAGTGAAGATGAGGTCGAAAATATCTGTCTATCCAACAGTCCAGTCCAGGACACTGAGTGTACAGTGTACTGAGGCTGTTTCATAACATTTTGTCACTTTCGGCCCATATTTTTCTTTAAAAATACAGTAAAGCTATAATAGAATGATATATGAGGTTGATGGAGAGATTCTGAAATATCTGAATCTGGTAAAGTTAGAAAGTTAAACTTGCTCTTAAGTCCATAAATGATGAAAGTATCACTGACCGTTATATCCCCATTTATGAATGATCTACAGTACTGTACATATAAAGCAAGAATTACAATACAGTATAGTACTAAGAATACTGAAGCCGTTCCTACGTACAGTACAGTACTGTACAGTACTGTACGTGCACTCTAGTGTCAACCCTGGGTGTCATCTCTTAACCTTTCAATCGACACTTGACGCCTATCTGGAAGATATCTAGCAAGGTGGTTATCACTACCGTGCCCATCAAGGTAAGAAAGGATCAATCGGATAGGACTCCTAAGACGCGATCCTATCCATTCCATATACCAATCATGCATCCATTTGTGCAAAATTGATCGTCAATGCATGCTTTTAATATGTAGTGGGTAACTTTCTACAAGAAGAGACCTATGTGTATAGGAAGGTCCATAACGATTGATCTTTTTGGAGCGTTTTACTGTACGTAGTTTTTACCAATCAAACAGATCCATCTTGTCGATAGGTTAGAGAGAGTGAGATAGAAATTCAACATGAAACTGCAACGAATAGCGTACAACTGTAGATTGCATGGGATGAGAAGGAGACTTTGAACATGTGTATGGCCAGGAATTACACAACCCATTAGCGTATTCGTAGGTTAGGGATTGCATCCTTGACAAGCTAGTTAAGGTTAAAGATTCATAAAAGCACTCTGCAAGCTACCGTTGTCGATGGCTTAGCATCACGGGGTATAGCCCACCAATTTTATCCTTGCCAATAGATGTCAATCTGTACAACTTGCAGTATATGCCACTCTTATTCTATCAATTAATAGTTTTACTCAATGTCAACTTAGATCCTGCTACAAAGCAACTGTTCATAAAGGATAATGTATCAGATGCAACTGTACACAACATACTGTCCATGAAACCTCCTTGGCTAGCAAATCGACATTGCGAAAGCATGACTAGCTGCATAGAATAAACCAACGGTTAAAATAATAGAATTTCACCTCAGATACTTCTGTCTAATCCTGATAGTTCTATCACAAACACCTAGTAAAACGACTTAAGAATTTGAAGGCATTTTCTCTGCCACAATCTAGGCGAAGTATTGCTAGCCATTAGTTTCTAGACAGTCAAGACATCGAACGCATTTCAGGTGATGTGGGAGTTAAAATTCAATTCCTTAAGCTTATCTGCGATTACCCTCAATCGAATCCACATACGAGTATAGTATTCTACTACATTTGTACACTTGCTTGTTTACAAATATTATTCCTAAATACGGTAGAGTACAATTGCAAATTGGTCAATATCAATCAACTATTTCCTGTTACTAGCCGTTAATACGAACTGATTCGAATACACTTTATTAACGATGAATCGTTGCGATGAATATTAATTTGATACCATCAAACTTTCTATATACGTGCATACACGTGCATATATACCAAGTAGAACATGCGATAATCAATCAAATCTTATTAAAACACTTATTGTCACATACTCGTAACTTATACGACATTCTAAATTGCCAATTGGTCTTCTATTTTGCAGGACTGCCCAGCCAGGAAATACCAGAGAAGCACAAAAATGTCAACGTTACTCAATATTGTCTTTCAATTCTATTTTATCACCCATATACCTATTACTATCTTGCTAGACAGTCAAGCCATTTTTCCAGATTCATACTATCCAAAATCGGTATTATTCGCTAACTCGAGAATTACTGTGGAATTAATTAATTAATCTTATTGCTTTGATATGAACAATTTTATGATGCGAAACGTCCATACCTGTTCTATCGGTATTTACTGGTATCCAACCATGTACCGTTGCTATCTTAGGTTACAGGTGTCATGCAGTTTCACATCAATGAATTTAAAGATCCTCTGATGGCAGATCCACCTATTTGGCTGCAAACATTTATAGTGATCGAATGCCTACTTCAGCTACCTTTCTTCTTCTTTGCATCATATGCCTTTATAAAAGGTACTAGAATATCAATATCTATGTTTGTTTATTATCAACCTATTTGATACAAATACCCCCCAAAAATTCGTTCTACAAAGTATTAAATATTATCTTACCGTATAACTAGTTGATTTACTTTATCAACGTAAATAACTGTAATTTATAAAGCACAAATAAGTAAAATTAGAATCCATTTTACCGCCATGTTGATTGTGCTTCAAAAATTTCTAACGGATTATATTTTTTATTCTAGGCATAAAGAAATGCAAATGGGTTAAATTACCGTGCATAGTCTATGCTGCACATGTTGCTACTACGGTAGTACCAATTTTGGCTCATCTCGCTCTCACCGACTTTTCTAACGCCACCATAGGGCCTAAAACCGACAAAGAACGACTAATATTAATTGCTATTTATATACCCTATCTCGTTATACCAGTAATGCTGCTATTTTACGTGCTTGCCTTACGATTTGATGAACCGCAAACTAAAAGCAAGCGACATTAACACATCACATAAATTCTATCGAGGACGCCCTTCTAAAGTACTTCCTCATGATAAATTTTAAACGTTTGGAGGAATCTGTATTATCATATCCTAGAAACAATACTAGCATCGTGCTCTATGTACCCTCTATAGTCATTACAAAAAAGTTTTAGATCCCAACTCGCTCATTAGCAGTTTCATTGATATTTTACATAAAAAATTATACTAATATTTGAGGCTCTAAATATATAGAAATAAGTATATTTTGCGCTACATCATCATTGTTGTATTTGACCAATACCTCCGTCAAGTGCTGCACTATACAGCACTAGGGAAAGTTCAATCCTCCCAATTTGTAACCATAGTTTCTAAGAGATTAAAGCTAAACTAAACTAGTAAAACGATTTGTCTTCGCCATACCATGTATGAATACCAATTAAATACCACTGTTAAATGTTCATTTATTCATTTTAACAATTCCTAAGCTTAGAAATAAAATCTGAAAAGCTTATCCGATATCTTGTGTGATCTAATTGATCTGTTATCAACATGAGTTATCCTATATCTCCCAATCCATTTGTTTATTAGACAAGTATATGCGGTAATCGTCATCATTTATGAAACTGAACTTAAACAGTTTTCATGTATTTGACGAATTGGTTAACGAACGTTTACGAAGAAGTTCAATCTATATGCGGCAATGGCCATTATTTGTGAGACTGAGTTTAAGCAGTTTTTATACGTTTGAAAAATTGGTTAATGAACGTTTACGAACAAAATCTCAAGTTCCCCATTTTTTTAATATAGCATTCAGCAACGAATTTTTCCTTATATAGACCAACATACCATATAACTTAATGTAGATATCCTAATATGCTACATGATATAGGAACATTCACGCCTTGACTAGTGCTGGATCGATATGCTCGTATTGGCTTAGCAATATTTGTAAGCTCATATAATGCCACTTGTAATCGAATGTAATACTTATAGCTAGTCATACTTATTGAAGGGTCCATCATAAAAAATTTTTGCCGCTAAAACATAATTTTATTTCGCACCAGATTAAAAATAAATAGTTTTTATGGTATCACAAATAAGTTGATTAGCAAAGCACAAATCTTCCTGAATAGCAAAACCAACCATGTATGATACGATATCATTTACAACTATTTCCGAAAGTGAAGATAGAATTTTCATAATACTTTATCACATTCATAGCCCTGTCATACCTATACCATATCATAAAATATTACTTTGGTTATGGTATATCGGGATATTTAAAAGCGCAATAGCGACGAATACTATTCGATAATTGCTTTTCATGATATAAATCACGTTAATTCTATACGTAGGCGCAGCTTTTACATTGATGTATTTAAATTTACTTATTCTTATAACGATAAAAATCTAAAATCTATAGGTCTGATACATTTTATCTATGTATTTAAATAAAGTCAATCGATGTAAAGAAGAAGCCTACAGGATTTTATAGCAAATTAGACTGCTACGGTAATTTTACTAGTAAGTGATCAGACTGAGGATACCTGGTACGCGTATAGTATTTCGATTTAATTCTCTTTAAACGACTGTATTCTATTTCTTGGCTTGAATAACCTTGACAGCATCCATAATCAATCGTGCTTCCTTATTAGCTTTCTCTGCAACATGTCTAGCTTCATCTGAGAGGTGATCTAATTTTTTAGCTTCATGGAACATTTTCATCTGTAATTTTTTAATTTCATGAGTCATTCGATTCAAACCATTAGCTTCTTCTCTTATCTTCTCTGCATCTTGTTTAGCCTTTGTAGCAGTTTTACTCGCTTGAGCGGCAGCAAATTTTAAATCTGCGGCAAACTTTTTCATTTCAGGTACCATTTTCTTAACTTCAGCAATAACTGGACCTTTAATCGATAGAGCAGTTTTTTTAACCTCTTTAGCAACTTCAGACATAACCTTAGCTTGTTCCTTCTTTAAAATAGCTTTCATTACTTTCTTTGCTTTTTGTACGTCAGTAAAAGCTTTAAATTTTTCTTGTTTAACTACTTTATGGGCCATTTGTTCTGTATTTGTAGCTTCCGACATTATTTTATTTTCTGCTTTCTTTACCTTATGGCGAATTTCTGTCTTCAATTTATGAGCCTCATCATTAATCGAATGGATCATGGTATTTGCCTCACTCTTGATTTTTTTTTGAGCTTGATCAGCTATTTTCGAATCGGCATAATCGACTTTCTGGATTTCTTTGCGGATATATCCATCAGCTTTTTTTTCATGCTGGCGAATTTTTTTATCAGCTTGATGTACTGCCGCATTCACGTCATGAGAAAGTTTACGTACCTCTTGATTTCCTATATGTTTAAGTTCTACTTTTGCGGCTTTAATTTCCTTTGCTATATCGTATTGGCCATTCTTTTTTAACTCCTTTAGAGTACGATCCATTATCTTTTTAGCCTCTTCAATCCTTGCGGCAACTTTTTTAGCCGCGGATTCTGCATCTTTCGCCTTTTTTTTAGAAAGCATTCCGGCCGCAGCTACCTTCTTTATGTCCTTTCCATGCCCTAAATTAAATGCCGCGACTTGGCTAACGGTAAAGCATGCTATCAATAATGATAATATTACAAACTTTTGATTCATTTCCAAGCTTGTATCCAATTTGATATATTCAAAATTATGAAAAAGTGTTTTATAAAATGTTTAGTGATCCTTTAAATTAGTAGATCGAATGAAAATTTCAAGAAACTATTTTTATTGGATCTTTGACTGTCTTTATATACTACAGCAGAGCAATATTGGAAGGTAAACTATAAACGTAATTATTGACGTCTTGACATCGATTTTCGCCACGTATCCTTTGTTGATACAGTAAAGAATGAATACCATATGGTTCTATAGGCATAACAGTATTTGCAAATAGAAAATTGATTTATTTTGTACCACATTCAATCATAATAAATTACATATATCTAGGAACAGAACTGTATCTGTTACCCTTCATAAAAGGACATTCTTTATTGCTGACATTGACACCCTATATAAACCTATATAAAGCAGTTATAACCAATGGGCATGCGAGATTTAATAATACAATACTGTTTGCTTGAGGTTAAAGTAATTTTGTAGAATATGATGACATCCAAAATCAATAAAGGCGTATGGTAAAATTTAAATATCGTACAATATTTACTAATTCTACCGACTAAATAACAATCCAATGAATTCTTTCAAGTTACCAACTTCATATAAAAGTAGCTGATCGCGCATTTATGATATGATTTTATTGATGTTGCTATATGCTTCCTGGTACGGACACAGGAAAATGGATCAGTTTGCCAATAATAGCAATCTCAATGTATCAATCGTATGAAAATAGCATAGATAATCAATTTACTTCAATTTATAAATCATAAATCATATCTGTGCGCTGAAATAGAATATAAAATCGGACTCCCTTACAGCTAAGTCTTAATGCATAATTGTAAATTGAACTGCGTATTAACCAGTAAAGTTAAGGTAGCGTTTTTAATGACGTATTATAGAACAAATTAAAAATAGCCAATTTATGATGCCCTCTAGAACATTAGAATTTTAGTTTACATTTTTAAGTTAACTGGATTAATTCGATGACGTAATATACGTATATTTATACCAATCATGCATGCATACATACATCTAAAATGGTTATAACTTGAGTGCAAAAGCAAATACGAAAATTATTTGTCCTATGTCTGAGTCATTATTTCATTGTTTTTAAATAATAGCGCAGACTAAATCCTAGAAATGACTACAAATTAATAGGTAGAAAGAAAGCTTTCCAGTCATTCCTCAACCTGTATATAACCATCCTCAAGATGACGTACCTGTTGCACACTCATAATATCAGATCAACGCTTTAAATAGTTTGATACCTTTTATTCTTAATCATGATATACTGTAAACTGCTGTCTCTAGAAATTATTACATACCAAATACAGAAGCAAAGGACAGAATTAGCTCTACTGTAGGTGATAAGGTCTACACTTGGAGTGAATTTGATCGTCATTAAGTAATCACCATACTGATCAGAGTCTCTGAACAATTGCATCCCATTCATGTAAAAGGAAGCGGAGTTTCCATGCTTCTGTGATATCAATCTTAGGATTATCCTTTGATACATTTGTTTTTTCGTTGCCGTATTTCATTGACATGAATTGCATCATACTGAAAGTTCTATACTTGTAATTAATTGGATAGCAGAATTAAACATTATGCAATCCAAGCCATTCCCAAGTATCAATATCAATCATACACTCCAACCCCGTAACCATAGCCCGTCCGTTGGACGAAGGTAACAATACAATTTGAAATATTTCGAAATTTTATACATATAGCTTGAATGATTGACAACAATATTAATAACCTAACCTTTACCCGATTAATCTATGCAAGATCTTCATTGCGTAATTATGATGAATGAAATAATTGACTAATAACTCTATGAAGGAAGTCAGCTGAAATGGATATTACCATATTCTCTTCCTAACGACGTATTGTGACGTAGGAAATATTAAAATATGTTTTCTTGTAACCTCCTTGTTACGCATGTTCACGTTATGGCAAATGACTGTTTTACTATGGTTTATTCACAGTTTGTATGTCATATATGAAAGTGATGGATTACAGTACTATCATTCTGATTAATAATCATCAATATAATGAAGATCTCGTTGCTATATTCTTAAAAATTATTTTAATCCGAATATAAAAAGGATTTTAGCATTTCCCAGAAGCAATATGCTTATTGTACAGTACAAGAACGTGATTTCGCTTAGAGAAATTATCTCGGGCATTTGCTTGTTGCGTGCACTTCACTACATATAAATGCTGCCCATAGGTTGTAGCTTCAAAGAAAAATAAGAGAATGCAGGGCATAATCCTACGGGCATTGCCCAATACCTTGGTACTAATTATGAGATGCATTGCTCAGTAAATGGAGCTTAAATTAGTTAGATAATTAATTAATTAGCAAAGCACTCTGGCAATAGACACGATATCATATCAACGACTTATAGCAGTAAGACCGGTACTTTAAAACTTCTGCTGAATTAAATATACAACGATTTTTAAAGAATGATCTGAAGTTGGTAAGTATGATAGATAAGTTTCCTAATAAGACCTTATATATTAATTATAGACTAAGGCATTCTTGGCTCATAGTTTTCTCAATTTAATTCTTACATAGTATTTATATAGAGTTTCAAGTCGCTTTCGTAAGTGAAAACTATGTACTGCACAAATTAAGCTAGTTATACGTATAGGCGGATCACTAGATGGTAATAATTAACTTGTTTAATCCAGTCTATATCAACATTAAATACTATCATTTTTATCAACCGTTTACTGGATATTTCTCACGTTTCAGTGTACTTATTCTTGTCAATATTTTTATTTTAGAGATTTAGTGAGTAAATTTTTAAATCTACGAGTACTTATTATGCTAGCGATTGGGAGATCTATATGTAAGAATTAAACATGTTGGTATTCAATTCTCTATCCTAACGACTACAACGATCAGTCTTGATTTTTTTTGGTTTGGGATGGTTCAAACTTATATTATAGACAGGAATAATAGGAATGCAATTCGTATTGCTATAAGTGTTTAGTATTGAATGAGCTTATTTCAAGGATATGCTACCTGGAGGCCCTTGATTGAAGTTTATTTATATTACATTCATTTAAAGATGAGAAATTGGTTATTATTAACTTCGATGAATTTATTTATTCAGCAGTAATGTCAATAGTAAGATATTTCACGCAAACACGGACAATCAATATATCAAATGTTGGTTTTTTCTCAGTAATCAATTCATGTTCACGTGAATGGTTATAAATTGCTAAATGTTTCTAATACTGTATTATTATTTCATCTACTACGGCTGAAGTAAAAAAATTGAGCAAAGTCCTTACAGATCAAAGCGACTTTCACAATGGGAGAAGAAATATTTAGCTTGGAAAGTTTACTAGAGAAAAATTTACAAGGTCGTGATTTGGATGAAGCTAAGCGCATACTTTATGGATCAGGATTCAGGTTAGAGTTGTCATAATATTCTTCTCATACCATTTGCTCAAAATTTTCAAGGAATGAGCTTCCATTCAGTTTTCTTCTTTAACATCGGTGATTCAATAAGGTACCTTACACAATTTTATAGTTGAATCATACTAAAGAGAGAAATTTGTAGGGTTTAATATCATTTTTAATGTAATCACGTTTAAATCTCTTTCCTTTCGTAACTGAAGTGGCTAAATCATGTAATATTAATTATTTAATCTTAGTGCTTTAACGCTACCCGAGACAGCGTCTCGAGAAGCAACAGATCTAGATTTCGAGCTGAAAGGATATAAAATCTCTGCTCAAGCTGAAGAAACACGACCGCCTAGAATAGTGCGAATTGGTCTGGTACAGAATAAAATTCACTTGCCTACGACAGCATCCATTGTTGAGCAGGTTAGCAAGATCTACATTGATTGACCGTATCACATAATAATAGCACGAATTGAAAACTGAAAATCGTTTTTCTTGTGTACTCCTTAAGTACGGAGTCCAAGGTACATACGCTATCATGTATACTCAATTTTATTACCTTTCTTTTTGAATGGCTTGACATGCTAAGTTAGGATCTAATAGCCTGATTTAAATGATAAATATCTATTCTCATCTCGTTACTAATCACTGTAGCGCGAGGCATTACATCAAAGAATTAGTCAAATTACGAAAGTAGCAGCAGATTGTGGGGTCAATGTTATATGTTACCAAGAAGCATGGAGTAAGTAGCAAGCCACATTTAATATATCGATTATTCATGTCCCAACGGGATAAATACTGTATTTATTTCGTTTAATCACAGTCTTTACTTACGGTATCACTTTAAAATTGTAATTTTAATTAAGTCAAATAATTTTTCTTTCTATTTTCTGGTTAGATATGCCTTTTGCTTTTTGTACACGTGAAAAGCATCCTTGGTGTCAATTTGCAGAATCTGCTGAAGATGGACCATCGGCAAAATTGTGTTGTCAGGTAGAGTTGCGCTGATGCTAAGTTTTAAGCGTTGTAATTTGTTAAAAGATCTACGAAAGATCAATTCATGTTAACTTTTATACGTTTAATACTACTTCTAATCCAAAATTTTTGTCACAGTTGGCCGAACGATACAATATGGTCATCCTGTCGCCTATTTTAGAAAGAGATTCTTTGCATGGCGATACAATCTTTAATACAACAAGTAATAAAAATGATCAGAATATTAAGCAACTACCGCAGTATTTATAGACATTAACAAAACCGTATTGCTAATTCTTGATTTTTTATATACTGTGAGGATTGTTCGTAATCCATATATTACAATTATGATAGTGTACTATATTAGCATTCTTAATGAGAGATTTAATTTAACTTTTTAGCCGTCATTTCAAATCACGGCAAGGTTATTGGAAAAACACGAAAAAATCATATACCTCGCGTTGGCGCCTTTAATGAGGTAATAACTTTACTTCATATTATTCATAGTAACAGTAATATTTTAAACTAATCATTTCCTGATTGGCGTTTAATTAACGCATATTTGTAATACGATCCTATCTTGCTATATAGTCAACTTATTACATGGAGGGTGATACTGGTCATCGGGTGTTCGAAACAGATTTTGGTAAATACCAAGAAAATTACAAGTCTCTTTTCTAAAACAGATGCAAAGGAATAGTTTCTTTACTGCCACTTGCGAATTAAGCTAACAAGAAGATACGTTTTCTTTGTAGCCAAATTACATTTGCAATTCGAGAAATATTCATTCAAACGCGTATTTACCGTTAACGTAAATGTTATCAGAAGCACATTTTTTTTGCAATAGATCCAAGAACACTGTACTAGTGTACAGCTTATTTGATATTTTTTCAAATCATGCTAACTAGCACTAACTCTGACCATTTATAGGAAAGATTGCTATCAATATCTGCTATGGTCGTCATCATCCCCTTAATTGGCTAATGTATGGAGTAAATGGAGCAGAAATAGTCTTTAATCCATCTGCCACCGTAGGAGCTTTAAGGTATCGCAATTGTTAATTCTGATTTTATAAGTGTCGAATCCCCTAATCTCCACTGGACTTGACTGAAATTTTAGCTACGATTAAACCTTTCTCCGTTCGAATTTGTCAATTTCACCATAGTTCTACTGAAAGATTCACTTATCGTTAATCGTATGCTTTTAATCGACTTCTATAACCAATAGCGAGCCTATGTGGTCAATTGAGGCGAGAAATGCTGCCATTGCGAATACGTACTTCACAGCGGGGATTAACCGCGTAGGAACGGTAAGATACATTGTTGAGGTTTTGAAGAGGAAATATAGCAGTAAAACCTATAAAGCAATTCGATTATACTGCAGTTATTTATTGGGCAGTGCAGACTAAAAAGCTACGGTATTAACTCTCATTTAATTTCCTAGGAATCATATCCTAACGAATTTACTGATGGTGATGGAAAGCCAGGTATGATTAAAATAGATGATCATATTACTAAGAAATAAAGACCTAAAAGATATCTTTTCCATGCAACTATAATTCTAGCTCATCACGATTTTGGACATTTTTACGGTAAAAACTTATTTCTATTCTATATTCATTGCCAATAATAGATAACCAAAGCACTACAATAACGTAGTTAATAGTATCCTATTAATATGATAACACTTATTTATTTATTACGTTCAACTGATCAATGTATTAAAGCTGGCTAGCTATTGATGGTATTTCTAACTTTGATGATGTTCAGGTTCCAGTTATGTAGCTGCTCCAAATGGTGGTAGAACTCCGGTATATACAGGATTCTCTAGATAATATATCTTCTGTTTAAACGTTTATGCATTAATCATTTCTTTCAATGTTAAATTTTGAAGCTTCATCTTGTTAACTCATGTTTCTATATCTTTTTCAAAGATTTTGCATTGTTAATTTTTTAAGCTATATTTCGAATCATGACAGGGTTTAAGCCGCGTTAACGAAGGTTTGCTGGTTGTAGAGTTGGATTTGAATTTGATTCGCCAAATTAAAGATAAATGGGGATTTCAGGTTAAGATAATATAAATTGGTGTCCTGCAAGGATTTTATCAGCACACACTCACAAATTTGTTTACGATTTTTTATAGATGACTGCTCGATTAGATATGTATGCTAAAGAATTAGCTAACGCCGTATCATCTGACTTTAAGCCTTCAATCATTAAAGGTTAACATCCTTCAATAACTGAAAAACAAATATTATGATTTATTATGGTATGAGAATTTTTTCTGAATAATAAATAAGGATAACCATTTCATAAATAGTTTGTAACTATGCTACCGTAATTCAGTATTAGTAGAAATACAATCGTGGATCTTAGGTGTTAGAAGTTTTCTTATGTCTAGTGTTTATGTATTCCATTTGGTGTAGAAATAATTATATAGGGTAACATAAATTGGTTGTTGTTATAGCTGATAAAGTTTTACCCTTTTCATTACATAACATCTTCGATGTTATCATGATGCACTACAACTTCTAAATCATATTACAAAATTATCATTGTGGTCTTTAATAAAGTGACATATTAAGGTTTCTGTAATATTATACTTAATTGTCTTTATAAATGAAGAGAATATCGTCATCCGTACCATAGCTGTGTCTTGCTGCATCAAAATTTACAAGTAATGCTGCGCAAATATCTGCAACGCAATATACAATATAATAAGACAATTACAATTCCTTATACTGAGATTATGTAAAAGTAGAAATCAAGAATTTGAAAAATTGTATTACCGCAATCAGATCCAGGATCCTTGTAATATATAATTTTTTCCCTCCGATTAAATCCACAAACGACAACAAAATGTCCTAAATTAACAGAAATACTACAATTAGTAACGTACAAATGAAAAATGAATCGCCAGCAAAATGAATAAGAGTTATCTTAATAGTGCTTTTTATAGAATTTACATAAAATTATCTATCACATCATCAAAAAAATTGCGGCAGTGAAGCGTGGAAGTAGAACTGCTTTCTGTAATGTTGTACGCATCACGAACGATGCTAGAAACAATCATTGAAATGTATATACAGTATAACGTACCAAGAAATTTATTAGAAAAAATTCGCAAGGAGAGTATCTTGTCGCTGATTGTAGAAAACATCTACAGCAATGAATAAATAGTGAATTGTGGCGTAAATATCCGAGTTTATATTAGTTTCAATAGGTCCAAATTCTACAGAATTTAAGTTATGTAGATACACTATTGAAGATCACCTTTTTCTTCATCTTCGCTTTGATGTCCGACCGATCCAAACACCGTACAATATAGGCATTAATTAAGACTATAGCTACATTATTTTTAGCGATATGGTCTATAATTTCGTCTATCGATACCGTCCTAAAAAATGTGTGCATCAGAATTGTTGTAACATCAGTATAGATACAAAAACTAAAAAGCATGATCTATGTTTTGATTTAATTGACAAAGATGAGCTTGAAATAGAAGATAACGGGTGACATTAAAATATCAATGCTAAATGTTTTAATAAGGGGATAAGTTATTTTTACATTATCATCTGGAGAGACTTCAATTAATGTACCTTTTTATGATCTGGATCCCATGACTAGGCGCAAGCTTAAATAGTTTATTAATGCGAATTTTATCGGCTTCAAATTGATCGTTGTAATAATTCTAAAGAGATGAATGAAAAACGATAGCAACATATATATTGCTCTAATAAACGACCACATACAAGACTATTCGTATTTATAGATTTAAAAGAGCTATAGGATGGATTTGAAATTGTAATCAATATACGCGTATAGACAATTTACCATAGTATTGTAATTTGGATCTGCACCAAGAGTCGTAGTAAAGAATGTACTCCTTACGTCATATTTTTGAAACAGATACGATAGGTCTATGGTCCAAATCCTAAAAAATTAAAGGCAAAACGCGTGAAATTACAATCTCCCCTGCGATCGAATGCCTTGCACTGTACTCTATAAAACGCTGCGAAAAGATAACCGGCGAGAATAAATTTTTGATTCATTATACACGTACTTGTATATGTATTGGTCACAATTACAGCTGCTAAGTACTGAGGGTTTCATTACCGAATTATCATCGGTGTAATTGTTGATAGGATATACTACCTAAACATCTATATGTATGCACAATCTATGTTTTACCCGTTTGTCGAATTTTTCGAATTGTAAATTTCATTGATGTATTCTTCATTAAATTGTCCATGGAAAAGATAACTGTAAATTGTTTGATCGAAACAACGATAATTTCCATAAGCAAGATAAGTATTTATATAGATATGATGATCATCAAGTAACAAGGAGGATGAGCACTATATAGATTAGTTATCTATTACTATGCGAAATGACATAAGCATGCATAAATTCTTGCATTGCTTTATTTTACCGTTAATACGCGTACATACCAGTACATCTATTTCAAAACAGAGGAATTATTTATCATGACATTAAACGCTGCTATAGTTTACATGATGACTTTTATTATTGATTATCGTGGATTTACTTACTACTACTTCATAGCTGATAATATTAATAGAGCAAAGTCTGGATCAATCTTCGTTGTTTTATGACAGTAAGATTGTAACTACTCGTATGTTCTTACCTAAGAGCCATTTTTGAGCTAGCAATGCCACAATCCCAATCGTGCCGCTGTCGAATGTGATGCATTTGAATAATGTAATCGCTATCATCCATTCTAGCAGAGAAAATGGAACATTTGAAGCACGAATTACACCATTTTAAATAACTGCGCTCAGCCAATGTTACAGCTACTATTATGAACGGGTAAGGAGTAAGTGTATCATGACTGTCTCTTAACACTTGAATGCTATATCCTGCATTGCCTCATCAATAAGATAGGAGCGTTGTTTGAATAGTACTGTATCTAGGATAGTCTGTTGACCTTGTTTCTGCAATCCACAATTTAATTTGTACTGTACTGTAAGTGGTCCACAAGATACCTAGTAAAATAGCTAGTAAAATAGCATCCACAAAAATGCATGAGGATTTTAATTATCTTATCATAAGAGATAAATCTGACATATGCGTATACACTACAGTATGCGACTTGCATGCACCATTTTACATGGTATAAAGAAGCTATTATTTCTTTCGTTGTGCGTAAAGTTGAAATTTACATCCTTCACTAGTTATTATATTAGTGCAAAGAATGAATATAGTCACTCCTTTGAATAAATCTAGTACACGATGTGGTCCATACCTTATCTTTAACTTGATTTATAAAAGAGGAGATATTTTTGATTCTCGAGCTTTTCAAGAAATTGATTGATTATCTAATTATAATTCTATCGACATTCGCATCACTATGATACAAGTTAGGAGACAGGAACAAGATGGAACACCATACTCCTACTTTGATTGCCCAATCACGCCTTGCTCACTAAACGATGAATTGATAGTACAGTATTGTAAAGTTGTTCATTAATTATATATATGGGTGTTATTAATTATATATACAGTATCTTTGTTATTAGCCCATGATGAAGTATAGAGTCTATAGACCGTGGATAACGTTATATTATAACGGTCAATATTGCATTCTATACAGTATCGTGATTGCGCAGTACTCCTATGTATCGTATTTCAAAGTAGAATTACAGTATAGAATTTAGAATTTATTATACGCACTGTACTAGTGGATTATAGCCGTTCAAATTTTTTTAATATACAGTATCATGATTGCGCAGTACTCCTATGTATCGTATTTCATAGTAGAATTACTGTATAGAATTTATACGCACTGTACTAGTGGATTATAGCCGTTCAAATTATTTTTAATATAATATTGATTGAGATATAGACTGTATTTTTATTGTTGATGATGACAGCATTATCGACGGGAATACTTTGGCTACAAAATTTGGTGGGATCGATCATTTGGGGGGTCATTCTACTATACACTAACACTGAAATCGTATTCTACACTGTACCAAAGTAAGCAATCAGCTAGTTGAAAAGACAATCGCGAATTGACGATTCTCGATTTTCAATTAGAGTAGGGCAAGAAAGCAAGTTGAAGAACACTCGGTATACCGTACACCAGTGTCCTCCTCCGCCACCTTGCATAAAGTTCGTAGAATATTTAAGAGAAAGCGTCATAGGACAGTTTCAGCTATGTATCCTAAGAACTTTATGTACGGTATAGCCATGACAGCTATTACCATGAAAAATGATAAACTTTACTCTGTACGATTACAACAAAAATGTGTGGAAAATCATTGGAAAATATCCTGATATTACACTTAGAAATCTCAAATGACTTTCCACATACCGTGTACAGTACAGTACAGCACAGTAAGGTGGTGGGGCTAGTGTACAGTGTACAGTGTACAGTAGAGTACAGTACAGTGTACTGTACTGTACACCTGTCGATGATTTTGGTTGGTAGAGGTACAGACAGATATGCGGACAGCATTGGCGGCAAAAGGAAGAAATCTTCCACAGGCAACTGTAAAATTCATTGTTTTCTATCGCCACTTGACAGGGTTACTACCCGAGAACCTGTCATTTACACTACTGTATACAGTAGTGTAGTGTAGTACTGGATACCGGCCGGGTACGGATAGTCAACGATTTTGAAGTACTATTGTGCAGTACAGTGTACAGTGTACAGTACAGTGGCTGTGTGACCGTATTGCACTGTAGTGCACAATGTACAGGATTCAGCAGCGACGATTTCGATTTTGGCGTCCCGTGCATTGATCCAGACGTTCAACTCACCAAAGGGAATCTTTAGCCATTGCATCCTCTAAATATCTCGTTTCATCGCTAGCTCAAAATGTCCATCGGTATTCCAGTTAAGATCCTGCATGAAGCAGAAGGCCATGTAATAACCTTAGAAACAGTTAGCGGCGAAGTATATCGTGGTAAACTGTCAGAAGCGGAAGATAACATGAATTGTCAAATGTATTCAGTTAATGTAACTTATAGAGATGGTCGTACAGCGTATTTACAGCAAATTTTTGTTCGAGGTAGCAAAGTAAGGTTTATAGTTATACCTGACATGTTAAAGAACGCACCAATGTTTAAGAAAACCAGTAATAAAGCAGAATTGGGTAAATCAGCAATCCTAAAGGCTCAAGGTAATACCAATGTTTGCTTGCTCAAAAATGTAAATCCCAATTTGAACTACAGTATATTGTACCATATAACGCAGTTAGTGGAGATGCGTTGCTAGAGTAGTACTATATCATCTTTACAATTGTGATATCGATACTAGAGGACTTTATGTCTGGATGATTTAATTGCGTTCTACGCTAAATTTATATGTCGGAGTGGAGTTGGATCAGGTCTTGTAAATATGCGTACTTGTAACCGTGTAGGATGCTACATGTGGGTAGTGAATACATATACGGTCATAGCTTTCGACAGCACTAGTGTAGACGTTAAGCAACAGTTTCTGAAGGTTTATTTTATTCGTAAACTATTTGCTAATTCCCTTTACCGATAGTCAAGATATTTGCTATGGTATAATTACCAATGAAATATCTTACATGCAGAGAACCTTCGTTAAATTGGAGCCTAAGAAATCGTTACAAAGCCATTTTGTGCGATCTTAACTAAAGTTAAAACTTGCTATTCATGATTTGTGACGTTTTCAGGCTAAATATTCTCTTTTTATCTATAGCTGCTGCTCGAGGAAGAGGTGGTAGAGGTGACAGAGGTGGTAGAGGTGATAGAGGTGGCCGAGGATCAAGGGGTCGAGGAGGTGGAGTTTTCCATCGAAGGAATTAAATCCTATCACTGTTTTGTTATATAATGCGTTTTGTAGATTATTATAGGTTATTCCCAAATTGCATTCGTATTTCTGTATTGATTCCTAACCTTATGATTCCAGTTTCACGTGCTATAGGGATAGAATACAGTATTGTAATGATTCAAGCGACTTAACTTTATAAGTAAACATAACTACGAACCTCTTTAACTCTTTTTGCGATATCCGTTTATTTATACGGATCCCTTAAGTAATATAAAATATCTCAAGGTTCCTTTGTTGAGATTTGCGCAAGAAATTATTCACTCATTTGCCATGTGTATGATATTGTGAAATAAATTGGCTTGAACGAATTATACAGTACATAGGTTAGAGTTGAACTGTGATGCAACCTTATATAAATTCTTACGCAGTACTGTATATTTAAAATTGGTTAGATTTTAAGAATTGTTCACATTGATCTTCTATTGGTGAGTTACACATAAGTAGGCGATGTAAAATAAATACCAGATATTTTAAGGTATTGTAGTAATAAGTAGTGATCTTTAAATGTTTCTCTAAAGCGAGGTAATTGAAGCGACTGATGTTATGTATTTTATTGTTATCGTAATATTAATATGCAGTGATTAGACTCGATGAAGTGGTTGCAACTCAGGTAATTATTTCGACACGTTGGTAGAGTATATGTTAGTAACTTTTTATTGTAATGTCACCAGTTAGCATCCGATGTTAGATAAGTAGAAGACTTTCTTCTTAAAATTTTAATGCTCAGTATAGATCGTTTGGCATAATGTACGATAAATTTACAAGAAACCTCTTACCGATATTATTGCTAAATTCTAACAATATCTAAAGTATTCACATTAAGATTCCAAGCGTAAATATACATTACTTGAAACTCACAAAATTTTAACGCAAGACCTAAATCAGTCGTAATGCATGAATTATAATGTTATGATTAAGTCAGATTCAAAACATTATAACAGTAAAAACCAAAATCGTATTGTACTGAATATTTAAGCGTACATCAAAACTTGAAGGAGTTACAATGGTTAATGTCATAAAATTTTAACGTAAGACATAAATCAACCGTAATACATGAATTATAATGGTATGACTAAGTCAGATACAACACATTATAACAGCAAAAGGCAAATGAGTACTGTATTTTACATTTACGTCAAACTTTAAGGAGTTACAATGGTTAAAGTAGGACTTCAACAAAAAATAAATAAATTATTATCTACCGTTTTCAAGTACTGTACTGTATAATATTTTCGTTATTACAACGTATAAAATGCTTCATTGGGTAAATACCGCCAACACTCAAGGAATCGTTACACTTCATGCTGTAGAGTACATATAAAAACTTGGGATTATAATTATATGTTGCTAAGGTCAAAGACATTTAAATTAATGAGTAAAAATATTTTAACAAACAATATATTCACACGTTGAAAAGACTCAATTGAGGATAATAACCATAGAGTAGTTAGTATAATGACGGAATGGAAACAGTAGTCTTAGCAAAAGTCTCTGAATCACTACCTCATCATACATCTGCCTCCACTTGGTAAACTAATCGTTCCAAGTGTAGTTTGATTTGCATCAATGTTGGAGATGTATCTAATACTTTGTTTAGCATTATCGCAACTCTTTATGGCTTGTAAATATATTATTATTACGCTGACATTGTCAGCACGTAGGCCTTTTTTTTCACATGCAGCCAATACTCGATTGATTAAAGTTTCGGTCATGCTTCCTACTATATCTGTAGATCGATTACTATAACAGCACGAAGCAATATGGTTAATAACTTTTTCTGGCGATAAAACATTCCATAAGCCATCAGTACCCAAAACGATGAAAAGATCATGATTGGGGTCTAAAGTATGGTACGAGACATCAGGAATAGGAGATACCGCAAATTGTTTATGGAATGGTTCAAAACTCCATAAATCACCAAGGGAACGCGAAATATTGAGAAAAGGCACTACCTCGATTTTGGTACTTCTTCTAACGCGACCACGATGCTTTTTAGGTATACGCTTCCACGCAACTCTGCATTCACGGCCACCGAAATAATTGATCCTATGGGCAACAATACCACCTAGTGCCTCAATACGTTTTCTTTCTTTCTCAAACTCAGGCTTATGCTCTTGAGTTAAGCGGACTATTTGAAATTGGGGTAAATCAGGAGATTTTTTCGCCATTATAGCTGCAGAATCGCCAAGATGAGCTACATATATTCTGCCATCGCGTAGTATTATCGATGTTACTGTTGTACCAGCTGTACTCGGTAAATCAGTATTTTTATACGGTGGCCAAGATTCTAAAATTTAATGCAGAAATTATAGTACATCAGTTTTGCAGTCATTATGATATAATTCTTAAATATGAAACCATATATGCAAGTGCTGTAATGAAGTAGAAATGGTACTGCAGAGGCATTTTATTAATTGGTGATAGACTTGATCGTGTGCATACCTGTAGTTGTAATAGACTACAAAATGCACAAGTTGCATAATAAAATATAATGCTGCACCTTCAGTAGCGAAATAATTTAATAGTAAACTAGAGATGTACGTAGTGATCATGTTCCGGACAACAAGTTATGTTCATAACCTCTGCACTCCTTACTAACTGCTGCTAGATGTGTATTTTACTGCAGTAAAATTTTTTCAACATTGACAATCCCACCCCCTCCCCTCTCTCCGAAAAGCAATATCTTTCTCGGTAAATACTAAAATAAAGCATGAAATGGTTCAGCATCAGGTAAATTCATTCAATTCAGTGGCATTAAAAATACGTACACAACACATATTACTGCAAACTGTTCATTCTCAGCTGTTCAACCTCACAGGTGTTTTAAGAAGTAAAAACTAGTCTCTACATTATGGCCACAGATTTACTAAATTTCCATCGACCGAATAGCAACCGTTGCTGAGGGGTTTTATAGTAGGGCATGGACAGGAGGATTCACATCATAAAGTGTACAACCGGGTAAAATCATTATAAAACAAATAGACTATATGCGTACAAAGTAGACAACTGATTGTTATGCAAAGTATTGAAACAACAATTAATTAATTCTTTAGGAATATTATAATTATACTATTAATTATAATGAAGTAAAGCGTCTGGACCTAATAAACTTCGAAAGGGTTTCCGTTAAGATTGAATTAGTGAATGTTGTAACGATAAATGAAATATCAAATATATACAATTTCCTAAGATTACTCGACAGCATAACACAGCATAGCCTAAAAGTGATGCTT